ATGCCTGTTGTATAACATGATGCAAAATTTAAGAATAAATGGTATTTTCTCTGGAACAGATTTTGAACAGAACAGAACCTTTGAATTGATTTGTTTTGTATTTTTATTAGCAAACATTCATTGATTTCTAAATTATAATACAGTAAAATTCTGATAATCTGCATATCTTGGGACCAAGGATTAGGTAGATTACATTTTTCAGATTGTAAATTATGCCTTCCCTAGCTTTGTTTACATTTCCCCCTTTCTGTTGTTTACATTAAATTTGAATTATTTGTCCATAAATAACTTACCAAAATACCTTCATATTTTAAGAACTGTTTAATCAAGATTTATTGAATGCTAAACCATTATATTTTAGTATATTTCTATACAAAGAAAATACTGTCAACTACAATTATTAATGTAAAGGGAAGTCAGCACAATAGTAAAACTTAAGAAGGAGAAAAAACATAAAGTTTTTTGAAGAACTAAAGAGTTCATTTTTAAAAAATGCACCAAATTATTTTATATAAAGAAGTGTATATCAACACCTAAATTATTTTTCATAATAATTTGAACTCTTAAATGAAAGAAAAAGTAAACAAATACAGTCAAAAGTCGTTAATTCGGACACCCATAATCCGGAATGATCTATAATCCAGACCTCAAAGCTACAAACTTTCTGTGCCTGCGTCGCGTTGACGCATGCGCAAAATACGTTTACGAATGTGCGTTTAATGTATAACTGACGATATAAGCTAAGCTAAAATTATCTAATTCAGTTAATGTTGCAGATTGCATTGTTCCTTAATCTTGGAATTGGATTCGGCTTATTATTTTTTGCAGACTGTTGGAGCAATTTATAAAAGTAAGCTTGAACTTTCGATTATGTCAAATAGAATTTCTGATATATATTTACTAATATGTAAAGGACCTACAAAGCGAAAGTATGTTTCGAAGTCCATTAAACAAAAAGTGGAATTGCTGCAAAAAATGGATAAAGGCATATCCTTTGTTTATCTTAAACGCTGCGGCGCGCAATGAATTGGAAGTTGATCTGTCAGCACTATCCTTATCTTCAGGGCAGATGTTTTTATTTGATTTGGCTTATAATTCCTTACTAAATGTAGTATTTCATCTTGATGTACTCCGTCTTTGATATAATTTAAATCAAATTCCTCATCATTATAATTCGCTTCCAATAGCGAATAAAGTAACAGAGGTTATTGAAAACGAAAAAATTTCAATTGACAAATTAGTCGGTATTCTCGGCACAGCAATTATAGGACTTGAACAGCGGAACTTTGTAACTGAACAAGAAATTATGTCAGTTTATAGAACTAAAGAGAATGTATTATCACATAAAAAACGAAGCAATTTAAACAACTTACATTGAAAGAAATGTTTAATAAAGTAAACAAATAAATATTAAGCTTTTTTTTTGTAAATTTCGATACCCTTTACATCATAATTGTTCTTTATTTCATAAATTACAATTTCATATTTTTAATTTTATAATTTCTGCATGCCATCTTACCAGATTTAAACTGATGATCTATAATCCGGAAAAATCATAATCCGGAATCGCTGAAGTCCCGACGAGTCCGGATTAACGACTTTTGACTGTATATTTTTAAAAACTCTACAATATAGTTTTCCCTAAATAGCTTTCCTATTCTAATTTAGCTCTTATGCTGCGTGCATATGTATTTGTTTTTGCTATGTAATTATGCTACTACAGCATACAAAATATGTTAGAATATAAATTTTAAATGCGCTGGGAAAAAATTTATCAGTTCTTTAGTCCCTTATTACTATTTTAATGCAATAAAATTCTCTACAGGTGCTTTATCTGAAACTGTATGACTATTTGTCACCAATGTTATACAACTTTGCTGTTCATTTCATGTAGTGTAAACCAACTAGCTACAAAGTGCATTTAAATTGAAACTAAGCATCTGAAAAGTTTGAATAAGTGTATTTTTCTACATGTTAATTCAAAATTATTTTTAAAAGGAAAGAGTATGAACTTAAAAGTAATCTCTACATATAATAAAACAAAGAGTCTGTCTGTGTTTGTGTCTTTCATTCGCATTGTGCTTAAGCTAATAGACCCACGGCTACAAAATTTGGTACATAGGTACATCTAGACAAATCCAGTGCACCTCGAAGCGATTTTTTCGAAATTTGAATTAGAATTTTTTTTATTTTATGTTTTGTGAAGAAATTGCATCATTTTGAGACATAATGGGCTATAGGAAAGCGAGATTTTACTCTACACACTCCATTTTCACATCGTCATGAAACGTAGGCACTTATCTATTTTACAAACTTAAAATAAATTTTGTGTTTCAATAAATCGATTAAATACGAATTTGTTTAACAAAAGGAGCTTAACACCTTTTCAACAGGATTTTTTTCTAAAAAAGTTTATTTTAAAAAATGTACAGTTTATTTTTCTTTGATTTTTGGACACCTTAAACTTTTATTCTTGCGACTGCTTTTGCAAAAAGAATTTCGAAAAAATCATAATATTTTGTATTTTTAAAAAAAATTTTAAATGAAGCTTCCGAGTACACTTCTCACATCTTTAAAAATATGATTTTGGCAACAATTTTCCTTTCTTATTGTTGATAGATTTTTGATGAAATCCCATCATTTTGAATAGTTTCATTCTTTTAGAAATATGGGTTTGGCAACAATTTTTCATCGTATTTCTTATTTCACTGTTTTTAAGAGATTGGCATTATTGAGTTTCTTTCATGTTCTGTTCGTAAGATATCGAAAAGTTTTCATGATTTTTTTTCCTTCAACAAAAAGTAGGTCAATTTTTTTATTAGGATAATTAATATTTGTATTAAGGGATATAGCTTATTTCATTGTAATTTTTTTCTCTTGAAAATATAAGATAAAATATCATTAATTATACTTTGCTTTTCAGAATTTTTTGTTTTTTGTATTCTTTTATGTTATTTATTGCTCATTTCACTGTTTTTAAGGTATTGCAAAGTTTTGAGTGATTTTTTTAGGAAACAAAGTTCTTAACCTCCTTTATACCATTTGAGTTCTTAAGATTTTGCAAAGGGAAGTTGGTTAATTTATTTATTAGGGTAATTAATATTTGTATTAAGGGATATTGCTTATTTCATTGTAATTTTGTTATACGTAATAATTTTTTTTTATGAAGTTGTTCTGCAGAGTAAAATTCTGCGCAGTTTTTGAATTTAACGTTTGGTGTTCCCTTCAGCAATTTTTCTGGTACATTTAAAAGCCAGACGAAGGCTGGCAGCGAAGCTGCTAGTAATATATATAAAATGAAAAAACACTTGCAAAGATTTATAATCCATATTTGTTAAGAAAGGAAAGTGCTGACACTTGTGAAAAAAATGGGGTGAACTTAAGGGGGGAACACTTCCTTAATCAAAATGTGCTACAAATTAGTGTATTTGTATTAAAAATTAATTTGAAAATTTATATAACAGAAAAATTACTATTCAGAATTTTGTTTGTATGTATTTGAAAGTAACTGTAGATTACTGACATTTGCAGATTAAACAGTCATATATTATCAAAATTCTTCTACACATTTAATGTATTGCTCATGCATTTCAGCAATTTTCTAAAATGCAAACATTTAAAATAAAAATAGATTTAACCTATTTAATTACACATTCTGTAATAGTCATAAGTTGCCAGTGAATTTTGCTGCACTCATATTTGTTAAATGGTTAAAATTAATAGAATGTTTCAAAGTAAATATGTACAGTTAGAAGTTATGATATTTAAAATTTAAATACATTGTTCTGCTCATAATCTAAAACTAAATGAATCGTAGCTAGTTGTGACTTTTAGGCTGACATTAGCAGTGATGCCAGACTTTAATTATTTGCAAGCAATTATTAATTTAAATATATATGTGGCTAAACATATATCTGTTATTCTGAAAATTAGAATAAAATTGAGCCTCAGTTAATGGAAAATATAATGGGTAAATGCATGCAAATAAAATTCTGTGGTGTTTTAAATCATCAGCAGGCTCCACCTTTTTTTTAAATCTAGTTGGAAATAGATATTGTGTGCTGCTACCTGCTTGCAGCAACATATCCAGTTACCACAGAGTGCTGAAAACAACAGATCTAATCAATTAAAAGACTCAAATTATATAATTTTCTCTAATGTTTTTAAAATCCTAATATGTGCTGTACTCAACAAATATGGATAGTCCCAGTGCGTACCGTAAGACCAGATAAAATGGTGTTATACAATTTGGTAGCAGATTTAGAATTCAGTTTATATATCTCTGAAGGTTTGCTTCCATTTTGCACTATTAGAATGGGTACATTTTGCGTAATTTGGCTGTGTTTGCTTTGAAATTAATTTTTCTGTACTAGAGTAGTGAATATTGGGAAAGAAAGGAAAAGATGAGATTTAATTGATAATTCAAATATTAGCAACTTTTTAGACCTGAATTTTTCCTAGGTATGAAACGATTACTGTTCAAAATTATGAGCTGAGTGTCACTTCAAAATAAAACAAACTGAATATCTGGAATTAAAGATGTCCCTTGAAAGGGAATGACTGGTCTCAGAAGTATAAAATATTATTAGTAATAAAATAGCATCTTCTGAAAGTCATGTATATTCCAGTGAACGTGTAGTCTAAAAGGGTTAGTGTTTTTATGGTACTGCAGTATATCATGTAGTTTTATTATATAGTAGCTGATGTTGTTATTCCATATTGAAGTTATAAAATTATATAAAATAACATGTTGTAGTAAGTTAAGTAATACAAATTAGTTTTCTTCATTATGTTTTTCATGAACAAGGTAGACGAGATTACTTTTTCATTTGATAAATTTAATATTCATGTAAGGGAAATTTTGTTAATCAGCTGTAAATTTTGGCATTTTTAAGTGAATATAAGTATATGATGTAGCAAAATTGCATTGTTAAAAATATCTTTCAAAGTAGGAATTTTATAAAGCTTTTTTTTATATGAGAAATTTTTAATAATTTCAGATAAAACTGTTGATGAAAATCTAGGGATTATGCAAAAGCTTCTGGATTTTTTTCAGAATTTAACAGTGCCTGTAGAAAAGATATTTAAAGTAAGAATTAAATATATTTATATTTTTAAAGTTTTACTTAGAAAATCATTTTATATCTTAATTAAAGTGTGAGAGATTAAGCAGTGTGATGTATCTACAGATTCACTGCCTCAGTATAAGCATTTTTTGGAAGTTATATCCGAATTTATCTTAAAAAGTGTTGACTAATGATCTTATATTTTTTTGATGCGTTCCTACAGTCATGTCATATGAAATGATATGAAGTATAAAGCTGCAGTATAAATTTCAAAATTTTGCCTTCAGTTGACTATTTAATAAATGTAAAATGTTTCAAATGCTAAAAATATTATTAATGAGGAATAGTAATAGTTTTATTTTTTACTATGGAATGATATTTAGTTTGTTAGTGATGACATTTAAATTATTATTGATTATTGTTTATTAGTGATGACATCATTGGAATAATATATAGTTTATTAACCCTTTGATGGTTATGAACGAGTTCAGCTCGCAATCGAATCGTGCTTCATAATGCGTGCAAACGAGTTCCGCTCGGGAGCAAGATTTTGACCAAAATGGTTAGTAACGAGCACTACTCGCGTAGTGAAATTTTTCCCCAATGCGCGCTGACGAGCTGACTTCGTTCGCCATTATTATTCTGCACTGATTGTGTTTCAAACGAATGCTACTCGCGAAATTTAGTTAGTTTTACTGTCTACAGATGGCAGTACGAGTTCCATGAATTTCTTTGCATAATGAAGGTGGATTTTTTTTTTTACCTTGTTCATTTTATACGTATTTTGGCGCGGTTTTTAGGGTGTTTGTACAGTAAAATGGCTCAAAAGCGAAAGTTAGATAGTTATGATTGTGATACAGAAAGCTTATCAAGTTTTGAATCTGATGAAGACTTTGTTCACAGTATTTCAAGCTCAGAAGACGATTCAAGCGATGAGGAAGATTTTTCGAGTGTTCGACAGTGGTGTATAAATTGATTCAAGTTCTCACGCTCCTAGCCGATTTAGTTTTTACTGGTGATGTAGGGCATGAAAGCTTGTGCGTGACAAATATTTCTGATCCACTAGAGTATTTTGAGCTGTTTTTTACTGATGAGATTATAAATCATATTGTTACGGAAACCAAAATTTTTGCATAATGCCCCATTATGTGCAATTCCATGTTTTAAAGTATATCACATACAAAAAGATTTTTAGGTAATTACTGTATTTATACTGTGCTTCATAAAGTTTTACATTAGTTGTATTTATTTAGTCCTTTCAATTTAATATTTGTCTTATATTTATAATTAACTATTATTATTTATATAATTGGTTATAATCATTTATAATTTATTGTTTAATAATTATTTTAAAGTACGTAACTGTTATTTATGTACTACAAATACTTTTACTACAAATAGAAATTTTTAAAACTCGTGAGGTGAGCTATCTACGGCATCGCCAGAGAAAGGTGACATTTTCGGAAGAACGGCGGGGGAAAACAGCTGCCACTTTCGACTACTGTTTACTCCTAATGCTGCGCGAAGTAAACGGAAACTGCTCATTTCCATAACCGTCAAAGGGTTAATGATGACATCGTCATTAAAATATTTTTTGAATATATATTTCTTTTTTCAAAGAGGATAATGTCTTTGGAAAAGGTGTATTAATATAGAACAGTAGTAATGATGATTATTTTTATGGCAGTTAGCAAGTTTTTCAAGAGCTTTAATGTTTATAGATGCCACATAGATATTTCTAATAAACAAATAAAAATCTGTTATTATTTTTTGTTCACATTTTTTATAACAATGTTCTTGTTTTGTAAGTAAGTTTGTCAAAAAAATTTTTTAAGCATATTATTATAGTTTTTTTCATTGTTCATTGAAAAACCTAACCTATGAGACACATTACTTATTTACAGAAAAATTTTGACACTATGCTGTATTATAATAAAAAAGATCAGCCTTCATTAATTTTAACGCATATTTGTTTAACATTTGAATTTTGCTGTCCTTTCTTTTAATTAGACTGTGAAGCATTATCTATGTACATAAGTAATTCTTTTACAGTCTTTAAGATATTCGCAAGTGAAGTTATAAAGGCATACTCTTTTGTTCTTTTCTCTAAAACTGTAATTTAATAGTCATTACAGTTTTAAAATGTTACCTTATTTACCTCACAGAATTTAAATCTGTTTAATGATTGTATCCTATAATACAATGGTCTGAAATTCAAAGTGCCCGCGAGCCTTATGCGTGTTAGAAAACAGTTGACAGGCCAATAAAATAAAATAAAATAAAATAAATAAATAAAATAAAAAAAATAAACAAAATTAACATTTTTTATTAACAAAATTAAAAAATATTTTAAATAAATCTTAAATTTTGCTTGCTAAGTGTGTTTCAAAACATAAGGAAACAGTATACAAAGGAAAAAAAAATCAAACTTATAATATTTATTTTGTATCCAAAATCTAAAGTTTGGTACTTGCAAGACATTTTTGGTGGTTACACTTTGTAATACAAATATACTGACCTCTAACTATTAAATTTTCAGACTGACATTTATTTAAAATATTTCTAATGTGATCAATTAATCATTAAATAATTTAATTTAAATTGAAAGAAATTATGAAAAACTTTTGTTATTTCATGTTATAGCTTGACACTTGATGTCATTTTGACACTGTGATAAAGTTTGTAGCTTTAGAGAGAAATTACTAGAAATTACGTTCATCACAAATTGTAGATACTCACTAATGAATAAAGTTTGTAGCTTTAGAGAGAAATTACTAGATATTGTCTTATCACGAGCTGTAGATACTCATCACTCAGTTGGAGTTTTTCTTATTAATTTTGAACTGTGGGAAAAAAAGCTATTCACATATAACTGTATTCCTTCAAAGCGATTATTCTTAGTGCAAAAATTCATAACTGATTTAAATTTGGCAAGTATGAATAAAAGTTAGTAACATCTGTTCCTTCAAATCTTTCATACAGATTTATATCACGTTGTAAATTAGTTTGTAAATCAGGTTGTAAATTTCAGGTGCATTATTGTTATTTTCTAAGGATAATGAAAATGTTGTACATACAGATAAACTTGGTAAATAATTAAAATCTTGAAATCTTTGTAACAATGTATTTGCAACAAATTCATAAATGAAATGTCTTCACAGCTGCACAAAATTGCTTCGGGAGGGATAGCAGTTTGAGACCACTGCTATAATAAATCCTTCTTAACTCTCTCAAAATTGCAAATCTTAACACATAGTTTGCTTATAACGATCATTAACATCTAGTTTTTTAAAAATTCAAGTACTTTCAGAATCAGCAATTATATTAAGAGTTTTCTTAATTTTCAGTATTCAGTTTAAGGCTGTGCTTAATAATTGTCAAACCATGTTACTTCTCGTAAAAAGTGTATGTACTATGATTATATTGTTATCACTCTGCATTATCATCTATTGCATTTTGAGATCAAATATCTTCAAAATGATGACTCAAGTTATAAAGAATTATTGAGTTCTGCAGAGTGTCCTCTTATAGTGTGAGTGGTACATGTCCAGCTATAGTCCAGCTGTTCTTTAAAATGGGCCATTCCTAGCCTATTTTAACTTGTGTCTATCACCATGCAGTATTTATTTTCTCCACATCATTTGAGACTCTGGCTCAAGTCAACCTTCATGATGTGAAGGTTGGTTTGCTTTTCATGATGTGAAGTGTGCTAAACAGAAATGGTGTGAGGGGGTAGGGAATGAAACAACTTGACTTTTTCTGTACAGCTGTTGTTCCCATGGTTATGAGTCAAATTGAATGATGTAAAATAACATTGCAGTTCCTTATTTAAAATAACAGACTGTAGTTGTTGGAAGATCAGTGCTTCAATTCCTGATAAAAGCATAGTAGATTTTTCATATTTCCTGATTTTGAAAAAAAAATTACTGTCTGTTCTAGTTGTGCCTGATATAATTAATGATATACTAAAATATAATGAACGAAAATTAATTACCACTTGGATATGGTCGACTAAGTCGTACATCTCTCCTCAATCATTCTTTTTAAGTGTTGAAGAATATAAAAAATTATTGCATTATCCCATGTGTACTCTAGTTATAAATTTCATAACACATTCAGATAATAGTAAGATCAGCAGACTGAATTCCTCTGAGGGCATAGCTGATTTTCATATGTCTTAGCTTTGAAGAAAACCCATATCTTCTACAAGAGACTATCAAGACTATTTTTTACAAAGTACCTATAAAAATAGTCTTGATTAAAAAAATTTAATTTAATCAAAGCTATGTATACTATGTATCTCTACATATAATAAAACAAAGAGTCTGTGTGTGTCTTTCGTTCGCGCTGTGCGTAAGCTAATAGACCCACAGCTACGAAATTTGGTACATAGGTGCATCTAGACAAGAGCCAGTGCACCTTGAAGCGATTTTTTTCGAAATTTGAATTTGAATTTTTTTTTTATTTTATGTTTTGTGACAAAATCGCATCATTTTGAGACATAATGGGCTATAGGAAAGCGAGATTTTACTCTAGGCACTCCATTTTCACATCGTCATGAAACGTAGGCACTTAGCTATTTTACGAACTTAAAATAAATTTCGTGTTTCAATAAATCGATTAAATACGAATTTATTTAACAAAGTGAGCTTAACACCTTTTCAGTGGGATTTTTTTCTAAAAAAGTTTATATTTAAAAATGTACGGTTTATTTTTCTTTGATTTTTGGACACGTTAAATTTTCATCCTTGGGACTGCTTTTACAAAAAGAATTTTGAAAAAATGATAATATTTTGTATTTTAAAAAAAAAAAAATTTAAATGAAGCTTCCGAGTACACTTTTCACATCTCACATCTTTAAAAATGTGATTTTGGCAACAATTTTTCTTATTGTTGTTGATATATTTTTGATGAAATCGCATTATTTTGAATAGTTTCATTCTTTTAGAAATATGGGTTTGGCAACAATTTTTCATCGTATTTATGTCACTGTTTTTAAGAGATTGGCATATTTCATTTTATTATTATTTCATTTCATTATTATTTTTTATTGTCATTTTTTTTTGGTAGACGGTTGCATGGATTTTGCCGATTTTTCGTTTGGCAAGTAATACGACTTATGGTAAACCCATTGCTGGATAAGTTATTTATGGTAACCAATACTTTGTTGTCATTTTATTTTAAAAATAATGCGTTTTATTATGCATAAATTTAGTGTTTTAAATATTATTTATGGCTTCTAAATATTAAAAATCAATTTAATTTTGCATTTTTATTTGAAATAAAAATTTTGTTGTTTATAATATTTTCTATAATTTTATGTTGTGGATGATGTAATCAATGACGTCACCTTACTTAAAAAGTAATTGGTTTTATTAATATCTATAAATTTAATCTAATGTTTTAAACATTATTTATGACTGTTAAGTATTAAAATACAATTTAATTTTGCTTTTATTTTTAAAATGATTTTATTATGAATGATTATTTAAATAATTTAAATTCTATGCGTGATGTAATCAGCTCCTTGATTGGTTACTGAATATTTGTGCATTACCGCGCCATTTAAAAATTTTATTATTCATCTCTTCGAATTCATCAGATTTCAAATGGATATGCCCGTTTTGAAGATGAATGTTGTTATTGGTAATTACCAAGAATTAGTGGTATCGGAATAAAAAAATTGACCTTTGATACCTTATTTTGGCCAACCTGGCTTTTCTAATCAAATATTTATTTATAAATTGTTAATAGCATCAGAGGAAATTTATTTTAAATTTTTGGAGAAAACCTCGCTAATTGCTTCTTCAATGAAGTGCGAGAGATGGGGATCACAGATGAAGATCGTTAGAAGACCCCCTCTTTTTTTTTATTTGTTTTTGTGGTATTTATCAATATATGACAGGTAAAATACTTTAAAAAATGTAATTACATAATTTTCTTTCACTTTATAATTGTATAATTCAACTTTTATTAAAAAATTAATGCAATGTTTTCAAAAATTCCTGAGATATTTATTGCCACATATGTTTTAATGTTAAATAATTAATTCTTGTAAAACTTATTTTAAAGTATTTAAGTAATATTTTAATTCTTTTAAACGTTAGTATGATGTTTTTAATTCAATATTCAATTTAAGTAATATTTTAATCCAATTAAATGTTGGCGCAATGTTTTTATAGCAGTGTTTTTATTCTATTATATGAAAGTAATAATTTAACCTTACTTTAGCATTTTATACTCTTAGTAAATGTATTTATTTACATTTGCCAGCCATCTTAAAAAACAACGTTTTCAACAAAAAATTAATCCATTATTTTTAACGATATTTATTTTTTTAAAGTTTCAAATACTTTACTATATGCATAAAAATACGTAAAAACAGCATTTTTCAAGATGGCTGATGACTGTAAAAACCGCGCCAACAATTGCGGCAATGTAAATCGCCAAAAATCCGTGCAACCATCTACCAAAGTAGCACCTAATTTTTTTCTCTTGAAAATATAAGATAAAATATCATTAATTATACTTTGCTTTTCAGAATTTTTTGTTTGTGTTATTTATTGCTCATTTCACTGTTTTTAAGATATTGAAAAGTTTTGAGTGATTTTTTTTAGGAAACAAAGTTCTTAACCTCCTTTATACCATTTGATTTCTTAAGATTTTGCAAAGGGAAGTTGGTTAATTTATTTATTAGGATAATTAATATTTGTATTAAGGGATATTGCTTATTTCATTGTAATTTTGTTATACATAATAACTTTTTTTTATGAAGTTCTTCTGCAAAGTAAAATTCTACGCAGTTTTTAAATTTAACGTTTGGTGTTCCCTTTATCCATTTTCCCAATACATTTAAAAGCCAGACGAAAGGCTGGCAGCGAAGCTGCTAGTCAGAAATAATAAATATCAATATCAGATAGCTCAATTATTTTTTAATGTATTGCAGAGGTCCTGAACCAGATGAGAATTCCACCCTGGGAGAATTTCATAGTTTCAGGGGGGGGTTAGTTTATGAATAATAAAAACTACTTTTATTCAAATTTAGGTATTTACCAACATTTTCTACACTTTTGGTTGTTAATTTATAAAACACATTAAAAATAATCTAAATCTAAATAAATGTATATATGTATTTTTCAAGTTTGGAAAGGAGAGGGAGGGAATGACCTTTTAGCATTAGTGTGAGGGATGCATAGGGAAAAAAGGTTGAGAACCACTGATGTATTGAATGGTAAAACAGTTCAAGTATTTGTTAATATCAACAATCCAATGTTTCAGCCATAGAATCCAAAATTTTTTTGCATAATCTGCTCTTTTGTCATTTTTTGCCAATTTTTAGTTACCAATTTTAGTTACCAAGACAAGCTTTTGCTAATTTTATTATAGTTTTGTATTTATAAAATGTGTTATTTAGCTTTTCATTTTATTCAGAATATATAACGCTTAATAAACATTTTCTAGTTACCAAAATGCATTTGCGGGGTGAAAAGGTTAGCTTTCCATCATGGTGGCTTTGGATAATAGTGCAATCTCTAACCTACTGAATAAGTATAAATCATTGATAGAATCATACAATTTCACATTAAAAAAAAAAAAAAAAAAAAAAAAAAGATAAAACTAGTTTGTGCTCATTGTAATTTTCATTTTAGCATTTAAAAATTTACTGAAAAAATTTTAATTTTATTTCACTTGTGGGGAATGTTTGACTGCATTATTTCTAAAACTTATACAGAGTTTCCTTTTAAAAAGTATTTTTATTTAATTCTTTCCACCCCCCTCAGATTGCCTATGGAATACGAGGTTTCAGTGAAAAAATTATAAATCAGCATCTCCTTAAAGTTCAGATGATATTGAAAAGCCAGTCAAATCTCAATGAACGCTCACATTCTCTTGATCACTTATCAGCATCAGATCCTGTATACCATGTTGAAGTAAATTCAGCTGCTCAGCCAGTGGTAAAAGAGGTAAGGAAGTTTGTGCTACTTATGAATGTTTGCTATATCATATGCATGCATTTTTAGCTATAATGTTCTAACACTATAAAAAGAAAGACTTATGTACTTGTGTATAGTAACATAATTACACTGTTATTGTGATGGAAAAATTACGTTTAACATACAAAACACTTCGCGCTTCCATCATATGGTTAGAACAGAGTATGGAATACAGTAAAAGGTTTACAAGATTTACCTAATCTCTAAAGCCTACAATTGTGAAATTATTCAAAGAATAAAGGGAAGTAAAAAATGCTTCATAAAAACGCTGACGATTTAAACTAAACTCTGTAATTTGATTAGTGGAAATCCATTATGCAATAAAAAAATATAAAAAAAATAAATTGTTTATAGAAATGTTTATTTGCCGCAGCTATCAAATTTATGAACATGGCATGTGCATGCGTGAGAATAACTTGAAAAAAGAATTATATTAGGAGATTTGTTTTTAATACTACACAATAAAAAGTTTTAGTTCTGAATCTTACTATTTGTGCCCTTTATTTGTTATGCACAGAGTTTTTATTTTCTTGTAGGTATATAATAATGATAATTCAGAGGTTCAAGTCTGGATGTGACATTCAACGTGTAAACTTGTAGGCATGTCATAACTATTTAGCTTAAAATTTTTTCAGATATTAAATTTTAATCTGAAGTCCAAGATCATTCCTTTTTAGTCTTTAATTTATATATTTTAATTAAATTTAAAAAAAAAAAAAAACTTTTTGAAGCATCACTTATAAACTTTTTAAGATGTTAGATTGTAATATGAAGTTTTTCAAATGGCAGTTTTTAAAAATTTTATATATAAATATATTATGTTTTTATATATATATTATAAATATTTAAATAAGCTTAAATATAAGAATATCAAAGAATACAATTTCTGTTTTGTTTCTGATTCTTGCTTTCCATTATAATTATTACAGGATTTTATTTGATTTTAGAAAAGTATAGTATATGTAAAAAATTCATTTCTCTTTATCTTTTACTGAAAAATAATTTATTATGTATTTAAGTTGATGCCTTTATTTTTGTTCTATTTTTCATATGATTTTTTTGCAGCAGTTCAACTTTTTGATACTCACTTTATGTTAATTGCATACTTCTCTGAATTAATTTTATGATATTTTCTCTGTTAATGTAGTTAAGAATGGAAGCTACATCAAGAACAAGATCTGTAGGTGTTGTGGCACTGGGTAACTTCAAATCTGATATTATCTCTGCTGAACAGGTTATTATTATTTTAATTAAAATTTTATAACCCTAAGATTTTATGCAATCTGTTTATATGATGTATTACTTTTTTTTTTTTTGAAGTAGCATATTAATGGAATATAGCAATTAAATTTGCAAATATGTGATCACATCTGCACAATTTTATTTTATAAAGTCGAATAAAAAAACATTTTCATATAAAATATCGTAATGTTTTATGTTATTTAATTCAGTTGATATGGACTAATTTACCTTAACATGTATGTATCATATGACATTGTTGCAATAAGTTCTTAAAAGAATTGGAAATATAAAGTAATTCAAAAGAAAATTTTTTTCATGCACCTTTGCATAAAATAAAAAATTGCAAGTATATAAGGTATTGTTAAGGTCCTACACAAAATAAAATACAATAAAATTCACCTAACACGTTAAGAAGTCACATGCTTAGGATAATTCAAGCAGTTCTTTTGTAGTCTTAATATTTATGATCATAATTACAGTAAATTTCAGTATCGTAATCCATTTATCTTAAATTCATTGCTTACTAAAGCTTTTGCAGAGTCCAGGATATTTCAACAAATAATTAACTGTAAATATTTATAATTTCAAATTTTACTATAGTTTCCTCAAAGGCTCAGGAATGCTTTTGCCATTTTTTAACATGAATAAAAAATCTGACATGGACACCACATGACTTCCTTGTGCAGTCTATTAAATTATACATAGTCTTTTGCTGCACTTCATTTAAACTTACTTCCACAAATTATTCCAACTTAATTAACCAATTCTTTGAGGTAAGTTGAATATGACATGATAAATTGCAAATTTTGAAATTATAGTGTGTTCAGTAAGTATTGCCATTTATTTGTATTGTATGGGAGTTAAACTTCTTATAATTTTTTTTTCATAATGAATATAGAGCTTTCCCAAGTATAAATATGGCTATTGGGAGATCACATTAAAAGTTAGATTTAATTTTTTGTCCTGGTTAAGGACTTTTATGCCAGGTATGGGGGGTAGGTGTATATATATATGTATGTGTGTATGTTTTTAAATTTTAAAAAATTATGTATATATGTGTAAAGTATAAAAAATACAATGGCTTTGCTCTATGCGAACAGGCAACCTTTAGTTAACTCTCTGCAATTTTAGGATCTTCCCCTAGACCAGTACTTTTGAGAACATTCTGGCATGTTATATAACCACTACTATAAATACAGAGTACGTGCCATTTTCATCAGATTGCTTTCTTCTAATGCTGCTCTTCCCATCTGTCTTCCATTTGTTAGAGCAGTTATGACATAGAAAGTCTAAATTAAATCTTACTTAGTTTAAATCACTATCGTATATGTAATTTGGAGAATTGAATAAAGATGTGGAATCTAAAAAGTTAAAGACTTCTTTGTTGTCATTTCGCAGCCTTTCACTCAGCCACAACAATGCCTGGACTATGATGTAGTTATATTGTCAAGTTTTGTTATTCCGGTGCCCACCGGCGAAAATATTACATATATGTATATGTTTATTGTTTTATGTTTGGTACTGCTGATTGCAATAAAAAAAAGAGGTGCACAATTAAATTTATACAAAATTTCAAAATTCTATGGCTAATCATTTTTGAGTTATCCAAGATACATATATGTGTCTGTATGCACATCACAAAAAAATCCTTTTAATCCATTTTACAATCCATTAAAAGAAAGTCCTTTATTCTGTCTGTACATACAGATATCATACAAAAGAATGGATTTGAGAATGGTGAAAATGGATATTTCCATTGAAGTATGATACCCAAAATTTGTAGACTGCAATACTTTATACAAAGAAGTAAAAATGGTGAATGGACTTTTCAATGGACACCAACATGAAACAACAACTTAGATTTCTCTCTTCGTAAATTTGATCATGAATTTTGCATTGGGTAAGAAGCTATCGATGAAGAGCCAACAGAGTATTTTAAAGCTAATTTAGTGTCTCTGCTCATTTTGTCATCGTTAAAAATAACATCAATTCTGTATTGTTTTTGTATATGTAGCTGTTAGTAATATTTTCAATAATAGTCAAGTTGTTATTTTGCTGTGTCTTTATTGTGCCTCTAGAATACTATTTTTTTAAATATACTGCCCTCCCCCCCAGAAAAAACAAATTGATTATCTGTTATTGTTAACTGAACAGCATATATTTTCAGTAAAAAGCTGCACAAAAATATTTCAAATTTAGTGTTTGTTGTATAGTGAAATAAAAGCTTAAAGCTGGCAAGGGCTGAACTACTACATCACAGAATCATAATAAAAATTTAAATGTTTTATGTTAATCATAGTTTAACATTTTTAAGACTATAATGTATTTTGAGTAATATAAGCAGTTAATATTATATGTTAAATTTGTGAATAAAATGGAACTCCTCTCCTAATAAACTTTTAATCTCCCCTCTTCAGTAATTCCCATTTTGGTTATAATCATTACCTCTCCTCTGAGTACTGACGTGACATAACTTTCCCTTATTTCATTAATTTTTTAAATTCGAACACAGTGGCGGCTCGTGGCTAAAATTAGTGGAGGTGCTGTTCCAAAAAAATTTAACCTTTGTTTTAAAATTGTGTAAAAGGAAACAAACATGTATAAAAAGAAAATTTATCAATACATAGTTTATAAAGTCACATATTTCCTTAGCTTCTGCCATCAGTGTCTGAAAAATTCTCACAGTACTTTGAGTCTCTTTGCAGTTTTAAATTTGTTATATATTCATTAACTTTAAACACACTAATTTCTCTGGATTGCATTTAGTTGTATATTATTTCAACATGAGGCATCTGATAAAAAAGCTCTAACCAAAATTTGAAATTATTATTATTTAGATATTTTAAAATTTCTGTTGCTTCTGCAATAGTTTGATCTGCATTTGATGTTGACTGAATTTCAGTAAGGCATTTTTTAAAAAAGTTGCAAATTTTCATGAACTCTGTTTATGGTCCGTATGATAAAGTTCCACTTTGTGGAGGAATACCACATGTGCGTAGTAAAAAGAAATCACGTTTTCAACAACATGCCAGAATTTCGGCACTGCAAGAATGACAATGCTCTTCTCTTTTCTCGGCTCGCGTGCTGCTTCCTGTGTGCGCATGCGCAGAACAGCCAAATGCTGGAACTGTGGAACGCACAGTTCCAAACAAAGACTTTTGTACCTTTTTCACAAACTGGGGGATGGCTACTGACATTAAGCTTAAGGATTGTGTATTGTAAAAGTATAAAAAAAAGAATTAAAGACTAAAGGGCACACTATATTAAATATTCAAAATAATAATAAGTGGACATAGGGGGTGCTGCAGTTCCACAGTGCCTATTACGAGCCGCCACTAATCAAACATGAAAATAATATGTCCATAGAGAAATAAAATTATAGCTTTCTTTTTATATCTTTTTTTGTGTAACCTTCGCTTATGTTATTAAAATAATTTTTGTATAAAATCCTAGGAAGGAATCCTAGGAATCCATGTTCTTTAAAATTTCATTCTACACTGTCAAACTGCTAACATTGTGTTGTAAAATTTCTTAATTTAAATTTACTGCTTACAGTTTTTAGTTTCGAGTATATTAATGTAAATGTATTATATTTAAATGCATTTTTAGTAATATTAGCAGTTAATACTGTATGTTAAATTTGCTATTAAAATGAAACTCAGCACCCCTTCTAATAAACTTTTAGTCCCCTCCCCCACCCTCAACAGTTCACATTTTGGTTATAATGAATACCTCTCCTCTGAGTGTTGAAGTGACAATACTCTTCCTTACATCAATAATTTTTGGATTAAAATATGAAAATAAAACAGAGTAGAAAATGCCTGTAGATAAATCATATTATAGCTTTCTATTTGTATCTTTTTTTGTGTAACCTTTGCATATGTTATTAAAATAATTTTTGTATAAAATCCTAAAAAATATTTCAGGTTCTTTAAAATTTAATTGTAAAATATCAAGCTACAAATGATAATTGTACTGTAAAATTTCTTTATTTAAATTTACTGCATACAGATTTTAGTTTTATGTGTATTAATGTAAATGTATTATTTTAAAATAGTATTTGCTTTTTAAATTTCAGGACAATGAAGTATTGTCTGATGCATATCATAAGCATATGTATAATTTCTAATAATACAGTCAAATACTGAAAAATCCGCCAACTCCTGAATCCGCATTGCCTCTCAAAATATAAACATTCAATTTAAAGGTTTCAGAACTCGCAACATACAGAACGAAATACAGTACAAAGTCTGTAATCCGGACGTCCATTATCCGAAATGATCTATAATCCGGAACTCGAAGCCACAAACTTTACGCATGTGCATAGAGAATGCGCATACATTACGCATGTGTGCGCTGAAAGAAATTCTTAATAAAGTAAACAAATAAATATAAAGCTTTTTTTTTGGTAAAATTTGATACCCTTTAGATCATAATTGCTCTTTATTTCATAAATTACGGTTTCATATTTTTAATTGTATAATTTCTGCATGCCATCTTACCAGATTTAAATTAATGATCTATAATCCGGAATCGCCGAAGTCCCAATGAGTCCGGATTATGGACTTTGTACTGTATTGAAGAAAAAATACTTACCGAATAATTACATCTTAATTATGGAATAATAATCACTCATAACGGAAGTACCACAGCCAGAAATATCAAATTATTGACATCATGGTAAAACATTTTTACCCTCCAATCTGTATCTAGGTAAAAAATATATAAGAGTTTGTGAAAAAATATCTTTTTAAGTGACTATTCTATTTCCCTTTGTGATTATATAAAAAAAAAAAATTCGCCATCAAAGACTGCATTTACGAGGGCTATCCAGAAAGTAGATTACGTTTTGGAATAAAAAAATAAACAAAGTATAGGAAACAAATTTTATTATATACAGATGAAAGCCACACTCAAATACTACTTTTCTACATAGTCACCATACAAATTAAGGCATTTATCGTAGCGATGTACGAGCTTGGAAATTCCTTCGTCGAAAAATTCGGCCGCCTGCGCCTTCAACCACTTCGTTACCTCTTCTTGCCTTCCATCTTGCACAAAACTTGTGGTAACCAAGCTTTTCGCTGATGATTTCGTGCAACAAACTTCGCGAAATTTGTGGAAAACTCAAAGAAAGTTCCGTTATTGTGAAATTTCGATTTTCACGGACTTTAGCATCGACTTTTTCGAGAAGTTCGGCGGTCACTATGCTGGGTCTCCCACTTCGATCTTCGTCGTGAACATTGGTTCGGCCATTTTGAAATCTTATGACCCACTGACGCACTCCACCTTCAGTGATAATGTTGTCCCCATACACTTCACGAAGCTGCCGATAGATTTCTATCGGTTTACAGTTTTTTGCAGTCAGAAACCTTATTACTGAGCGCACCTCGCAGCTCGCGGGATTTTCAATTAACGCAGACATTTCAAACCATCACAGTATCTGAACGGAGCACAGCACGAACCTCTCACTAGCACGGCTAGATGCAGACTGAGCTGCGCAACGCTCTGACCCCAAGATGGCCGCGCTAGCCCCGCCCCTAGCGGACACAGACGGAAACGTAATCTACTTCCTGGATGGCCCTCGTATTTGTTAGCCTTCCCTCATCTACCTTCCCTCACTTTTAGTGAGAGTCTTAATTATAAATTTGAAATGTGACATGCTACTGAGGATGAAGGAATTGATCATGTTCTTATTATAATTTCTTTTAATTTTACTGTCTAAATAGAGTTTCTTTGTTTCCTAAAATTTCTTGTTTGTATAAATTTAAAATGAAGTCTGATATTGATGTAAATTTGATATTCACTTATTAGATGAGTATCATCTGGGCATGGCTTCCACTGAGGATGTCAATGTTACAACCAGAAGTAATTTATTCTTCAAATGTGCATGGAGTTTGTTTAACGGCATTTTACATGACTGTTGGTTCATTTGAACCTACTGTTATTGTAATTAAAGCAATGAATGATGAGGTAAATATGTATCATGATTTTTTCTTTAATATTTTGAAGATTTTCCTTTTTTTCTAAAAAAAACTTAACTAGCGAAAAGTTTTTCTAATTTTGCTCTTTCTCCCTGTTTTGCATATTCCCTCCCCCCAACTGAATTTCAGATAGATGAAAATTAAGTTTTTATGATTAACTACTGCTGTGCTTCTTAAAGTTAGCAATTAGTTAAAAAAAATTTTTACTGTAAAGAAATATTAACCATTGTAAACATTATGTAGCCAAACCTCAATAGCTGAGATTTCTTAAAAAAGTTATGTATGGAACAGGAAATCTATTTAAAATGATTTTTAAGATTTTTCTCATTAAATTAAAATTTTAATTTAAAAAAAGAAAATGCTTTATCATTTTCACTTAACTATAACTATCTGTCAGTTGAAAATTTGATCATATGTTGAATTATAGATCTACTTTTTTTAAAAAAATATATTCAGTATATCATTATTATAATATATTGCGTCATGCATAGACAAAATACAAACTTTTGATACATATCATCTTTCTAAAGTTTTTTTTTTTTTTTTTTTTTTTCCTTTTCTACCCAGAAGGGCTATTAATTTCGTTTTGGCATTTTACGCTTTGGCATTTTGCATTGATGTTAGTTCTTTTTTCAAATTATTGCCACCAAATATTAGACCCTGCATTATATTTAAAGAAATTAAATAATGAAGAATCTGCATAAATGCTTGTATGTTTCTTGCATTGTGATAAAACAATAGTACCTAGAGCCATAAAATTTTGAATAACATAATCTTCCAATGAATATGGGTATCTAGAAGCCCTAATTTGGAATTTGTTTTATTATCGATTTCATACTTTATAACCTTTTAATGAATTTTTGATTAACAAACTCAGTGATTTCAAAGCAAGCAATGGCAACACTGTGCAAGGAAAAAAAAAAAAAAAAGTTATTATCTTCACTACCAGAGACTGTGTATCAGAAATTCTAAATGTATGCTCATTTTAAAATTATTTTGGGATATTGCTGTTAAATTGAATTTTATGGTTTAAGCATGAAGAACATGATATTTAATTAAATAAAGATAACATACAAAATGTTTTAAAAAAAGGTCCCTTTGTGTGTAATGTAAAATCAGATAGCTTTCAGAGTTTATTTATTATTATTATTATTATTATTTGTATTTACTGATTTTTGTGGATCTTCTTTTTCACTTTCACTTTATTCTTCAGAAATTGAAGATGAAAATCATCCCTCTTAGGCAAATAGCCTTGAATACTTCATCATATTTTACATAATCCTAATCAGAAATAGAAAAATATTTTGCATCTAGAACTTGAGCCAGAGAAAAAGAAAAGTCATCAAAATCTATCTTAACTGTAATTAACTGTAAAATATAAATAAAAAAAAAAAAAAAAAAAAAAAAAAAAAAAAAAAAAAAAAAACTGAAATGTTTCAGATTTTAAATTACGTCCAAAGGGGCGTTTTTTAACATTTTGTGTGTTACCTTTCTTTATTAAATATCATGTTCCTTGCACTTAAACCATAAGATCCAGTGCAACAGCAATATCGCAAAATAGTTTTAAAACGAGCATATCTTTAGAATTTCCGATACAGAGACTCACGCGCTGGAGATAAAAATGTTTTTTCTGCACAACGTTGCCATTGCTCGCTTTGAAATCCTTGAGTTTTGTTAATCAAAAATTCGTCAAAGTTTTAAAAAAATAGGAAATCGATCATAAAACAAATTTCAAATTTCAAATTTGGTCTTCCACATGCTCATATTCGTTGGAGGATTACGTTATTCAAAATTCGATGACTCTATGTACCGTTGTTTTATCACAATACGAGAAATATACATACATTTATGCAGATTTTTCATTATTTAATTTCTTCAAATATAATGCAGGACTCTAACATTTTGTGGCAACAGTTTGAAAAGTGAACCGACATTTATGAGTCCGACGCAAAATGCCAAAACGAAACTAATAGTCCTTCGGGATTCAAATCCCTTTGGACTAATAATAATAGTAATAATGCTATAATAATAAGGCTGCCATCATTTTTAATTATTAAATTCTTGTGTAAAATGATGTGGAAATTTTTAGATGGTATAGTAATAATAAAACTGTACTGGAGGAGTGGGGGAATAGTTATACTAACATAAATTTCCATTCTTATGGTAATGTGCTATAACTATATTCCAATCAATGTAAGACCCTACAAATAAATTTCAGTGCAACAAAACTGAGAATATAGAAAGAAAATTCAAGTAATCAGAAATTTATATATTGTTGAAAAGAATTAACATTAATATCAAATTTTGCATTTCAGTATTAAGCATGATTTGTCACAATTTTGACTGAATTCAAACTTGACTAATTATAGACTGAGTGAGACTGAATTATAGACTGTAACCTGAGTAATAATCTAATGTGTTTATTTTTTATGCTAAGTTTGTCATTTATACCTGACATTGTTATGTAGTATTAGTGTGTTTCATAACATAAATTTTTCCATAATTCAAAAACCTGTAATTATAATTAATCTACAGATGGCATGTGAATGAAATTTTGAATATTTGTGCTTATAGCTTGGGTTTATTTTGATAAAAACAAGTTGATTTTTAAGTGTTCATGTGATACAAATACTATGATGAGGTGATAAATGATTGCTCATCTCTAATTACATGCAAATTACATTCATTATGATTAATCTGATTTGATATGAGCTTAATTCCATACATGTCAGCTCTATGATAATTTGGTTTTACATAATTTTTTTTTTAATCTAGCATTTAGATGAAGTATGTTGTCTGTAAGCTCAATTACAGGCAGTTTGCGAAAAAATAACATGTTTTTTATGCATTGTAGTTTTTTAGATGAAAATTTGCAGATGCTAATAAATGAATGAGTGTAAATGAATTTGTATGTGCATGAATTTCTTTGAAGTAATTGAACTGATTCATTTGATACTCAGAATTTCTGTGGTCTCCAGGAAACAATGCAAGAGTGCTAAGTTATAATGTGCATCTGAGAACAATGTTAAAAGAATCGGTCACTTTCATGCATACCCTGAGCTCACCAACAGCTCATTGCAGTCGAATGTGCATGCTGAATAATTAACTGCTCCATCTGGAGAGAATGCTCAATGAGGAAGCTATACAGTTGCAGACTGTTTAGTTAGGCAACAGATTAAAAAAAAAAAAAAAAAAAAAAAAAACTGAACATTTAGCATCTTACAACAGAGTGTGATTATGATAATATTCCTTTATTTCTGATGTTTAGCAACTTTTTCTACAAGTCGGTGTACAGACTATTTCAACCTTTATATATCAAGCATGGGAAATCTACTTTCCTAAACAAAACTACATGTCATTTATAGCTTATATAAAGTTAATATCTTGTATGACATCTCTTGAGTTCTTAGTTGCTTCCATCTTTTTATGAAAACATTGTTACTGATTACTCCTGTATGTATTCTGCATATCTATTATTTTGCTAACTGAAAAAAATTGCATGACTTCCATCAAAATAGATGCAACCACATTGTCATTTAGAGATTTGTATTTTTCTTAGAGAAGTACTTCAGCATACTAATTTAACCCCTTCGCGCCGACTGTCACTTATACGTGCCAGCAACGAACGCACTTACCTACCGGCCGACACGCAGGCGTGCCAGAGGATTGTTCCATTCTCTACCGACTGTCACGTATTTGTGCCAGTACTTTGGAACGTTTTTCAAACTATAATTTCTGCCACAAGATGGCACTGTATGTCCATATGGTTTCAGATACATGTAAATTAGACCTTCTACTCGAAATGAGAGAAGCATGACTCACATACACATGTTTTTGATTATATAAACAAACGGGGAAATAAATGTTTCCGAATGGCGTGATTTATGACGTCTCTTTAAATTGCACTTTATTCGCACGTGGTAGTTGTTTACTGTAAGTAGAGAAGTTTTATTTGCTCTAAAGTGTTGGGTATTTCGGTTTGCAGTTCAGTTTTTAGAAAATAATTAGACCTTGTTAGACGTGAATTCTTTGTTTTTACCGTTGCAATGTCGAAGCATCGAAAATGTTTAACAGAGCATGAAATAGCAGAAATGATGCAAAATATTTCAGATATTGATTCTGAAATTCTGATATTCTGATATTGATTCTGAAAGATTACCTGAAAAACATTTTCCAAAACTTTGTTCAGAAGAGACTGATAAGAAAATGAGACGACGATGCTTCGTTTGTTCACATTCCCGGAAAAATCCTCCAAAACGGCAAATGAGTTATTACGAGTGCAAGGAATGTAACGTAGGACTGTGTGTAGATCCCTGTTTTCAAATTTTTCATACGAAAGGAGAATTTTAAGTAATATATTTAGTTTTCAGATGTATAATGTTAAAATTCATAAAATGGTGAGTAATTTAAATAAAATGTGTAAAATATGCATTTAAACAAGAAATAAGGTAATTAAAGTATATATATAAAAATATTTATAAAGCATAAGCCGTTTAAATACTCTATAGAGCATTATTAAACAATGCGTTGATACTTCGGAAATTTCATGGATTTAGGCTTAGTAGCAAAAAAGCCCCCGGCCCTGGAGAGACGCTCGCGTAAGACACTGCCGGCCTCAGCGATAAGCGCGCCTTTTCGCTACCCGGCTCGAAGGGGTTAAGGGCAATGGACCATGTAAAATAACGTATAAGTTGATGCTAAGTTACTTTATCTTATGCCATGACTCTTGCTTCTGTGCACATTAAAGATGTTGCGTATATGTTACCGTGAAAGACCGAAATAGGAGAATGTCAGCATTCACCAAATACATCGTTGAAAGATTGAATATTGCATTACATTCATGTACATTCAGACCCTCACCGGTGTATGTTGACAATCGCAGATATGCTCTGGTGTAGTCGAAAAGAGAGGAGCAGACAAAGAGACAACTGGCTGTTTCCCGCCAAATCCTTTTTTCTGATGGGAGTCAGTCAGCTTTGCTAGTCTTAT